GGTTTAACTTGATTATAAATAGGTCATTATCTCATGGTAGTCTTTAACGATCATTATATGAGAAAAAGAGAAGAAAAAGAGAAAGAGACACGCCGTAAAACAAAAACACTCTCTAGCTTTCTGGTTCGAAGATTCCTAGCTTCTTCACCGGAGAGGATTCATTGGCGTTGGATCGTGCATCGGGAAACTGGATTGCGTGGATACCATAGTCGAGGACATGACGAACAACGGTAAGTTTTCGTTGATCATTCACGCGATCTAGGATCACATCAAATAGCTATAGCCGGATCTTCGTTGTTGGTAAGAAAAATTTTAAATTCCGCTGCGCGTACGTTAGGTTCGTACGTCTAAAATACAACATTGGGAATGTAACTATTAATTATATTATGGGAAGATACTACGGTCTCGTTCCGTCGAGGTTTGTACCCGTTAGATCAACTATCTCTGACGGTTACATGATGATCTAACGGTTACAAACTCCCGACGAAGTGGTTTCGTAACGGGAACTTAGCATTTCGCTTATTGATACTATGATACTACAGCAACTTTGGTGATGATTATTGATCATTTTTATGCATGCTGTCACTAAATAATGTTACTTATTCATCATTTCTTACATGCATGTTCACTTTTAATCGCTTAACAATGAATATGTAAGTGCATACATACCAACAAAAATTAGTAAAACAAAGGTTCAACAAACAACACTTCATAACTAACTCAAAAAATTGATGATCTAAAGTTGCGGCCATCCAACCCCTCACATCTAAGAGTTAGATTTTTATTTTGTTTTAGCATTATGCATGCAAATGGTTCATTTTCACTTTCACATACACATATTTTTCTTCTTATAATTATAATTGAGCTTATTTGCAGCAAAAATCCCTCCTCAAATGGTGAACATTGCCCTCTCTCAAGCCTTATCAGAACTAACCAAGCAAGGCCTTGTCATTTGTGGAAACAAACCTAAGTATCATCCCTTTGGTATTTTCTATGGCCAAAATCCATTACAATTCTCCTTTCCCCTTGTCCTCTTGCAGCTCTCGACTATCGTTCTCCTCACTCGCTTTCTTCGTCTTCTCCTCAAGCCCCTTCGGCAGCCTAAGGTTGTCACAGATATCCTCGTGAGTTCTGTTTTTTTTTTCCATTCTGTTTTCGCGTTTTCTTGTGAGTTTTCATATCGGTTGTAAGGCGTGTGATTTTTTCTAACATTTTTCTTTTTCATTCGCCTTTTCTGTCGATTTTGTTTTGTAAGGGCGGCATTATACTCGGGCCGTCCGTATTAGGAAGAAACCACAAGTTCCGTTCGTACGTTTTCCCGGACAATGGCTACTATGTGATACAAAACATCGCCCTTCTCGGGTTCATGTACTTCCTCTTCTTGTCGGGCGTGAAGATCGACATAACCGTGACAAAACGAGCCGAGAAAAAGCATTGGTACATTGCCCTTGCCGGGATAGTCGCCCCACTCTGCAGTAGCTTAGCTATTGCATTCATCGAAAGAAAAACTCTCGACAAGGAAACCGCGAAAATCTCCTCGATTTGGGGCATCAGCTCGTATTTGGCAATCACATCCTTTCCCGTTCTGTATCCAATCGTGAGCGAGCTCAATTTACTCAGCTCCGGAATCGGGCGAACCGCTTTGTCGACAGCTGTCATCGGTGACATCATCGGCATGAATGCTTTGGTCGTGTTCGAGGCATCCAAGCAAGGTGAAAACCGAGCAATTACGGCCTTATGGTTTGTGATCTCGGCATTTTTGGTTGTTTTGACGTTGATTGGTGGCATTCGGCAAGTTATGGTTTGGATCGTGAGGTCAACTCCCGAGGGGAAGCCCGTTGGCCAAATCTACGTGGTGTCGGTTTTGTTGGGGGTCATGGTGACCGGGTTTATTTCGGACATGTTCGGGCTCACGATCGTAAACGGGCCCTTGTGGCTCGGGCTGGCCGTACCAGACGGGCCACCGTTGGGGACTATTCTCGTCGAGAAAAGCGAGGTTATCGTGAAAAACCTTTTCATGCCGTTCTCGTTTATGTACGTGGGCTCGATTATCGACGTGCCTTCGACAAGCGGGCTGTGGGCCCAACTTCACCCTTTGCTGCTCATTGTTCTCGTATCCCATGTGGTGAAGATAGTTTCGACTTTGA